CTGAGAAGAGAAGGAAGACACAGGAGTGAGGGTCTGCAGGTGTAACTGGTTTAAAAGAGACACGTGTGCATCACTGCACTTTAGAATACAATAAGATATAAAAGAAACTTAAAAAAATAGAAGAAATATGCTCTCAGATTGAACTGGCTGGAAGGAGACATGTACAGCACTGTCTTAGAACAAATACAACATGCTGTGCACATTTAAAAGAAGTAGCATTGACTTCGCAGAGCTCAGAAGTCTTTGCTTGGTCTTTTTAACGAGAATGCAGAATACTGATGTGGTGTCAACGCTGGAAACACGCTGACTAGTTACAGTTTGTGAAGACGTGTCGCCTGCAGACAGAGACGTACTGAGCGCTGATCAGCTGTTATCTCCATTCAGCGCCTGGAGAGGAAGACCTAAACTCCACTTGGCAAACGGGTTAAAGCGCCGCTCCGCTCACTTGTGTCTTCATGCATGGACGCTGATCAGACATCATCATTAATCCGTTTTAACCCTCGAGTGCGCGGCTCGACCCTAAAGTCAACAGTTAGTGTTGTCCCATTACACCAGTCAACATTTCAGAGTGAAAAGCGGAAAGCATCGGGGCGCCAGAACGTGAAGAAGCTGTCTAACAACTGTAGAAACTGTATGACGAATCTCCTCTGAGTGGAAGAGAACTCTCTGCTTCTCTGATAACTGGACTCAAACCATTCAATTTAATATTTATCAATCCATTCCTCGCACAATTAATGTATATATAATATCCTGCTTTATATTTTGTTACTGTCAATTTGTATTTCCACATGTATATTTTTAACTTTTTTTAATGCTATTTTATTTCTATTTGAGATGTTTATTATTTGTAGTCTTTTAATTTCTCTTCTGTACGTTGCCTTGTCTTTTTATGCTGCTGCAACGCAAACATTTCCCCCTTATGTTATCTTATGTTATCTTATCTTACGTTGGCATGGTCATGGCACCGGGCTGGGAATAATCAAACTGGGATTTATATTTTTCATTCGGCAGTTATCCAAGTATGTCTATCATCCAAAAAAGAATTATGCATTTTATGGAAAATCAAGATAAATGTATTTCTCAAAATTCTGACTTGTTTCTGAAAATCTTGAAATTTTGACTTTTTTCTAAAAATCTAAAGATTCTGACTTTTTTTCTGTAAAATCTCAAAATATTCTGACTTTTTTCTCAAAATGCTGACTTATTTCTGAAAATCTCAAAATTCTGCTTCTTTTTCTGAAAATGTTCATATTCTGACTTTTTTCTCTAAATCTAAAAAATTCGGACTTTTTCTCTAAATCTCAAAATTCTGAACTTTGAAGTACCTCTCCCCCCGACACACTTTATTGTGATTTATTTTACACTCTGCATCTGCTCTGGCTCTTTTGCAGGATCTGTGACTCTGTGGTTAAATCTCAATCTCAATCTTTATTTATTTATATAGCACATTTAAAACAACCTCAGTTGTACAATATACAAATGCAATATCCCATCAGGAGTAACATAATAAAGCAATCATTTAAAAACACACACACACACACACACACACACACACACACACACACACACACACACACACACACACACACACACACACACACACACACACACACACACACACACACACACACACACACACACACACACACACACACACACACACACACACCACACACACACACACACACACACACACACACACACACACACACACACACACACACACACACACACACACACACACACACACACACACACAGGATCTGTGACTGTGGTTAAAGGCTGAGCTCTCTGACTAATGGGCCAATGTAAACTGAGTTAATGTAATCCCTGGAGGGAGGTCAGAGGTCAGAAAAGGAACCGCGAGCTGCTTAAAATGCAATGCCTTGATTAAAGAATGGGTGGTTCTGTGGCCCCTCCAAAATAATACATCTGTGATAATCCAATATGTGATGTTATCGCAGCAAAGACTGTGCTGTAGCCTGGGCTTAAAGGGGACCTATCATGCAAAATGCACTTTTGTACGTCTTTTATACATGAATATGTGTCCCCGGTGTTCCAGGGAACTCACCAAGTGTCAGAAAACACAACCCTCTCTATTTTCCTCCATACCCAAATCTCTAAAAAAGGGGCTGCAACGGATCTGATAAAAACTGATCCAGATTTGAACACTGTCCTGACGTCAGGACAGTGGCGCTACGGCTATTGGGCCAACTCCACCAATCAGGAGGAGACAGCCACGGCCATTGCCGTTCGAAAGCGCTGGAGACGCTGTAGTACATATGCCAGGCCTGTAGGTGGTGCTGTTCTCACTGAATCTGCCCTTGCAGAACAGAGCTAGAAAAAGTGCAAATTGAGCGAAATGAGGCATGGCTGAAATGCATGATCTGTTTGGTATTTTGAAAATAAAAAAGTATAAATATGCCTTATATAGGTATGGTCCTACACTATATTATTCAAATATAGCATGATAGGTCCACTTTAAGTTCACAGGAAATCAACAATTTTATTTAAAGTGGACCTATCATGCTATATTTGAATAATATAGTGTAGGACCATACCTATATAAGGCATATTTATACTTTTTTTTTTTTAAATACCAAACAGATCATGCATTTTAGCCATGCCTCATTTCGCTCAATTTGACATTTTCTAGCTCTGGGCAGATTCAGTGAGAACAGCACCATCTACTGGCCTGGCATATGTACTACAGCGTCTCCAGCGCTTTCGAACGGCAATGGCCGTGGCTGTCTCCTCCTGATTGGTGGAGTTGGCCCAATAGCCGTAGCGCCACCGTCCTGACGTCAGGACAGTGTTCAAATCTGGATCAGTTTTTATCAGATCCGTTGCAGCCCCTTTTTTAGAGATTTGGGTATGGAGGAAAATAGAGAGGGTTGTGTTTTCTGACACTTGGTGAGTTCCCTGGAACACCGGGGACACATATTCATGTAGAAAAGACGTACAAAAGTGCATTTTGCATGATAGGTCCCCTTTAAGAAACACTTTTGTTCCTAAAACAAATATTAATACAATGCTTTTTGGGGTTTTCCCTCTCCTGTAGCGTGTTCTATAGGTTTTAGTGCATGTAAATGGTCTGCAGAGGCTAACATCCCCGTGTTTTCCCGTCTGAAACGCCTCCATTGGACTCCTTTGTTTACTTCAGTGACATCACTATGTAACACTCCTGCTTCTATTGGCTAGCGCTCCAACACATTGTACGTGATAGGCTAAGGGGCGGGACATCTCTAAGCGGCTGACCAATCACAATAGAGCCGGCCAGCTAACCAATCAGAGCAGACTGGGCTCTGGTTTCAGACAGAGGGTGAGCTGCAGCACAGGCAGTATGAGAAAAATAATAATCGTTATGGAGGTAACTCAGGGATTTTAGCCTCTGCAGACCATTTACATGCACTAAAACCTATAGAACACGCTACAGGAGAGGGAACACCCCCAAAAAGCAGAATAGGGCCATGTCTTGGTATTTGTATGTATATTAAAAACATATATATACATCTAATATCATATCTCGGTGGTAGAAGAACTTCACAGATCATGGACTGCAGTAAATCTTTAAGATAAAACAAGTGTTTGGAAAATGTAGACTCTTACATGATTTACTGGTCAAATCTGTTTTGTTGAAACACCCCAAAACTTTACAATGAAGACTAAACGAGAAGCTAAGTAGAGAATAATTCTCTGCACATTCTCAGTATCTAAAGAGCCAGGATTACACGACCTGAGCTTGGATCATTTATCCTCATCAGAGCGTCCTCTCCGTACAGAATCCTCCTGATTGAATATTCCCCCCCAGCGTCCCGGACATTCGTCTCGCAGCCCGTCAGCTTCACCTAAAGTCTTTATGCTCCATGCATCGTGACAGACTCTCACTCATGTTGTGTGTTATTGCTCCAGCCTCAGATAACCCAGCAGGCGTATAGAGGTGGGGAGTAGTGGAGTAGAAATACTTCGTTACTGTACTTGAGTACATTTTTCAGGTATCAGTACTTTACTCCACTTCGTACTTTCTACTTCTTACATGTTGAACACAAATACCTGTACTTTCTACTTCTTACATGTTGAACCCAAATACCTGTACTTTCTACTTCTTACATGTTGAACCCAAATACCTGTACTTTCTACTTCTTACATGTTGAACCCAAATACCTGTACTTTCTACTTCTTACATGTTGAACACAAATACCTGTACTTTCTACTTCTCACATTTCCCAAACAGGCTGGTTCCTTTAGTTTGAATGTGTGTTTGGTGGCGTGATCATTATTCTTTAGAGTCATTGCGTGCCTATTGATTTGAACACGATCCGTGTATCCATCATTTCCTGGTCTTCTCTAAAGAAGAGGGACCAATGAAAACGTTGTCATGTTGCCGTTGTTCAGCATGGAAACATTCATTAGCTATCAATGACATTATTGTTCTATTAATATAAAGGGAGGTCAGGTACTCTTTAAAACAGCTGCTAGTTATGGGTACTTTTTACTGAAGTACATTTCAAAGCCCTCTTTACTTTCACTTGAGTAAAGAAGTTTAGTCAGTACTTCTACTTTCACCAGAGTATTTTTAAACACGAGTATCTGTACTTCTACTTGAGGAAAGGATGTGTGTACTTTTGCCATCTCTGGATATAAAGGAGAAGCCCTTCCCACACATTGAGAGCAGCATTGGAGCACATTTTCTGCTGTGATTGAGTGGTTTCGGCTCAAGAGGCAGATGGTGTCGTCTCGGTGCAACACCTGCGACGTGAAGGACACTTTAAAACTCTGTGAAAAGACCCCCGCTTCTCTTTATTATGGGTTTGAGCGCCTGCGGGATCAAAAGATGCCTTATTTCGCTGCTGAGTGGTGCAGGAATCGGTCTTAACACGCTGAAATGAGTCAGGATTTCAGCACTTACAGTTCTCTTTCATATAAGGCTCATTGGAATAAAACAGACCCTCCATTAAAAAGGTATAATGAGACAAGAAGGAGACAGAAAGATAATCAAA